GGCAAACAGTTAGTACCAGCAGTATTATCGGAAATTAGGAATTTAGTGTGATGATAATGGAGTCCTTGTCTAGTGTAGAATGATGAAATCATTATGTCATTGGTTTATATTGATGCACATCTTCAATGCAACCCATGCAAGCATGTGTTGTGTGTTTATATGCTGTGTTGTGTTGTTCACAGTCAAAAGACAGAAATTCTCATAAAGGTTGTAACTGTATCCAAAACTCTTCCATGTGTGAGTCCAGATGAATTTGGACAAACTGATTGTTTGCTGGATAAGGATAAATTGAAATCAGGTTCCTCCTCTTTGGGGGCTGAAGTCGGTGCAGAGTGAGTGAGATGAGACTGCAGATAGATATCAACCCCATCTGTCACATCAGATCAAGTTTATTTACATAGCACATTTAATGCAATGCAAGCCCAATGTGCTTCACACACAACAAATACGAGCAAAATAAAATGAAACAAGAATAGATTATAAAGGTATTAATTCCCTCCCACACATCCCCAAAAAGTGAGAGGAGGCCTGAGAGAAAAATTAGGTCTTAAGTTTGATTTCAAAAGACGGCACAGTTCCAGAGAGTGGGCCCTAACCGTGCACGGTAAGGAGACCAGCGTCTGGTGATCTGAGGGTTTGTGAGTGATTAGTGAGCATCTGTGTGTTAGATCGGGGATTGAGACAGGATGTGGTAAGCCAAGCTCACCATAAATACTGGAAACCAGGAGAAACAGCTAGCCTGGTTTTGTCCCAGGTTCCAAAATACGCCTACCAACATTTCTGAAACTCATTAATTAAAATCCCTTGAATGCAGGCGGAAGACCTCCATGGATGCAACAAAGTAGGTTATATTTCACCTGGGAGGCATTCTATATTGCATTACTACACAATTACCCACAAAAATTATTAGATTTCCTTCAATCCGTAAATTATTTTAGGAGATATAAAGTTTATTGAGTGGATACCCTTTGATACTCTACTTGGAGACTGTATATTTTCTTCATCAAGGGTTAATTCATTTGACTGGGACTATTAGTGGACTGTTGCCTCTTAAACACATGACTACCAAACTGCTACAGTATTAAACATATACAGATACAACAAACCTTTGTGTTACCAAAGCAGCAAGGACAAATAAGCTTTGAGTGAGGTGAGACAAAACTGAAGTCACAATGTGAATCTAATCTACCAAGCTTCAAATTTCAGACTTTTTAAAAATCCTTTCAAAAAAAGAAATTCATAAATATTTTCATAAGTAAACTTATATTGTCAGACAAGACACTTCGATGTGACAATCTGGTAAACAACATGAAAAAACTCTGATAATGTCCAGGACACTAGATTGTCTGATTTGCAGTCCATAAGAAAACAGGTAAATGAAAACAAAGAGTCAGTGGCGAGGCAGAAGAAAGGCAGCGATCGGACCAGCAGGCTGTTTTGCTGCAGGGCAGCAGATGAGCCAGTGGCCAAGGCCTTGAATTGGATGGTTCTGGCTGGCACGTCTGCTCATTGAGATTAAGAACTGTGCCAAGCAGCAGCAAAGGCCTGAGATATTCTTACAGAAACACAGGGCAGTCTTTGAAAAAAGCCATGTTACCTGGAGGAATACTGGATGTTTGCTTGCAGTCTGGCTCTGCAGATCACACCTTGCTACACCTTGCAGATTAGTGAGCTGACACCCTGTGGTTGCGGGAATGTTAAGATTACAGTTAGTTTTTTTTTGTTAAAGTTTCTCAAACAATACAAATTCCAGAAAGAATCTAAAAAGAAGAAAAGTAAAGATGCCATTTCAGTTCCATTAAAAAAGAACCACACAAACACTGCTGCAATAGAAAAAATAAAGAAGCATTACAAAAGTACAACTTAAAAGTCCAGTCTGTAAGATTTTGGGGGCTGTATTAGCAAAAAATGGCAGATATGATGGAGGGAGACATTGACTCTGAGTTCAGTCTCAACCTGTTTGGTGTATGAATGGTGCAGGAGTAAAGTTCCTGTAGTAGAGTATGATTCTTACCTCATGCCTCCACTGTTAATCTCATCCCTGTGCAGTGAAAAGCTATGCAACGATGTAGAGCTAACACTTCTGCTGTCAGCAGCCCTCCCAAGTAGAGTACAGTAAAAAATATTAAGGACAGTAATGGATAATAAATTGATATTCCAAATAAAGAGAAAACAGGGAACATAAAATATAATCCCTATGGTGACCTTGAAAAATAAACAAGTTCTGCCTTAATTTTAGTGACAATTAAGATGAATATATCGTATGAGTCTGAAGGGTCAAAGCAATACAGTTAATTAAACATGTAACATAGTAATAGTCATAGCACATTCCCGATTTATCTACAAGCAGAGTTTGTAAAATTCTATATATGGAAAAATAAAGGTGTAGTTTTTCACCAGCAGCACTATAGAGCAATGTGTTGTGATGAGGTTGGACTGCACACCAAGAAATGTATCAATGCTCCGGAACAGAGCAGAGAAGAAATAAGAAGGCCTCTTGCTAATTACCAGCAGAGTTCAAATCTCACAAACAAATTAACTTGGAAATTGTTTTCCTGTGTTCTGTTTTATTAAATTTTATCTGATTTGTATCTTTTAAATTGCCTTGTGTTACTTTTTTTAAATGTCTTCTGTAAAGCACTCTGAATTGCTTCCTTGTTGAAAAGTGTCATTCAAATAAAGTTTCCTTGCTTGTTTTAATTTGCAAGTAAACTCTCAACATTTACAGCATATGAGTTTACTCTGAAACAGTCAAATACCATTTCATCCAGAAAGATTGGATAGTTAGAAAGAAAATGTCTGGGCAAAAACATATCCCAATATGCTCCATGGATGTTTTGTGCTTCATACTCCACGCCAGACCGTGCATTTCCTTCTCATGCTTCATCTGTCCTCAATTCTTTTCCTCTTTCCCTTTCCCCTCATTGTTTTTCAAAGTTTTACAAAAATGTTTTCCATTTTTTTCCCTATCTCTCCACCTCTTGTTTTATGGTGCTGTTTTTTCCATCACTCTTTTTTTTCACCTTCTGGGCTCAAGATTTAAGCAAGGGATGATGGGTACTGGCACACCAAGACTTCTGGGTAATGGCGCCAGGGCTTTAGTGCCACTGACTCTACAGCGATGGCCTCTTGCTTCTGTATGTGTTTGTTTTTTGTGTGTGTGTGTGTGTGTGTGTGTGTGTATGTGTGTGTGTATACGTGTGTGTGCACCTGGCTCCTAGATAAATCCATCAACACATTTGGCATGTGGTCCGTTTAAGAATTGTGTGTTCTCCTCTGCCCTCTCTCTCCCTGTATGTCTGTGTATGTATGTGTGTGTGTGTGTGTGTGTGTGTGTGTGTGTGTGTGTGTGTGTTGGGCATCAGTTAGTTCTTTGTGCTCCCTGGGGGATCAGAATGAGACACGGGCATGAGGAGCTAACATTCCCCTGCAGAGCTGCTCATGCCAACTCTCCTTCATATGCATGAGATTTGCTGTAAGCCAAGTGTGTGTGTGTGAGTGTGTGTGTGTGTGTGTGTGTGTGTGTGTGTAGAGTGTTCACATGCTTCTACCTCTTGTATCTGTGCACCAATATTCTACCTCTTGTATCTGTGCACCAATATTTCTGTTTATATGGATATTGGTTTGTTTATGTCTTTGTAAATATATGAATATTATGTATGCATATACATGTGTATGTGTGTAAGTGAAAATACATACTTGTACTGTATGTGCACCTTGCATGATTCCCTCATGTATAGGTGGGTTTGTGTGTATTTGTGCCCCTCTGTGCGCAGAGCTGTTTGTGTGTGGATGAGTGTGTCCATGTAGCCAAACTGATGCCAAATGAAAAGCTCTTTGTTCCAAGCCCTGGGGCTGAGTGCTCTAAATAAAATGTCAGAGTTGAGGAGGAGTCATATTAGCTGCAGACATGTACTGGAACTCTTCATCAAGGGCCGTCTTGTTATATCTCTTAAATGAGATGTTTCACATTAAAAGTGGTAATTCTGTGAGCATGTGCAGCTTACAGACCCCATTCAACACAACACAGCCCACCAGAGACAGTAGAGACTCTGCTCACAGGTTTGTTTGGTGTAAAGTTTTGGTGGAATTTTAGTTGAGGAGGTTTGAGAGTCTGTATAGCCATGGTTGGAATCACTGCTTCAGACTCTGACACACCAAACCGACGTCAAAGAACTAGGAGCGTCAAAAGCATCCCCTCATGTCGCCTGTGTCTTAGCCAAAAAGTGTTCCCTTCCGTTTCTCTTCTCGTGCACTGATTCACTTCAGAGTGATCTCTCTCACCTATCGGAATTGCCAACGGTGAAGGACCCACCGTAATAACTTGGGCTACAGATGCTCACTAACGGCCCGACATTGACAGGTGTGTCAGGGCATGCCAAGTATCTAATTTTGTTGCTACTTTTTCATTTCTTTTCAAACAAATAGAAAATACATCTCTTAAATATCAACGCTATCATGGAGTGTCACAGGTAGACCCACAACTGTGTGACTGAGGAACCGGAATTGCAACTATACAATTGCCACTGAGAACTCTTAATTCTGATTGGCTGGGTGTTCCCAGTTTAAGGCATAATACTCCAACAAGTATATATGTATCTATATGATTGTAATGGATGGCTTGCGGCTTACTGGTGGAAGGGGGGGGAAAAAAAAAATTGCCCTGCACTTACACCAGCTGGCCAGCCAGTTTGTTTGCAGGTCAATAGTTCCTCTGGTCTTTTTCCCTCAAAGGCTGATGTAAATGGTTTAAAAAGTCATCCTTTTCCTCTTCCTGCAGATAGTTAACCTTTTAAGCTTACCAAGCTAGTTAATCAAAACAATAAACAAAACAAGTAATACAAAAATAAGGGATTAACTCCTCACCATCGTTCAGCTAAAATAAAAAGAGATAAACAGATTAAAAGTATGGTGTCTGCAGTTCACCATGCAAGCTGGCTGTAGCCAGAAGCCACCAAGCAGCCAGAGCCGCAGAACACGGCAGCAAGGAATAAGTGACTGCAGAGGCAAAGCAGGGGACAATGTCCATACAGCAGCAGAGACACAGCTATGCAGCTAGCAGTAGGGGCACAACAGCAGACATATAGTCGACAAAGCGGTATAAACACAGCAACCGTGTGTTTAACGGCAGAGGCAAAGCGGTGCGGACAAAGCAATGTAAATAAATCAGTGTAGACAAAGCATAGACAAAACACCGACAAAGCAGCGACAAGGCAGAGACAAAACAGAGACAAAACAGCAGCGGTCCCAATCAGCTGGTGGTGAAGGCACGTGAATCGCCACCTGTAGATTTCGGCCAGCTGACGAGCATTCCCTGTCAATAAACATACCATTAGCATAGCTAAACTACATTAATCAAAGCTTTTGAGAGTTAGATTTAAGGTGGCATACCTGTTTTCAAAGTCAAACCTGCACAGGGAGAGGGAGGGAGAGAGAGACCCACACGGCAGCGGACATCTACCTGTGACCACACTAGCGTTAGCTACAGGATAGCATTCGGTGTAACAGAGAGAGAGGACACTTACCACCGCCAGAGAGAACCAAGGTCTAAACGGAGCATGGAGCACAAAGCACGGGGCACTCGGTCGCTGCTCTGCAGTAAAAACACACGGGTTTTAAAAAAAAGGAAACAAAAAAAAAAAAAAAAAAAGAAGGAGCCGCACGGGGGGGAGGGCCTGCACAGGCAAACACCTGACCCGGAAATGATGCGTTAGTGAGCGTGCGAGAAGGAGGGCCGTACTTATATACTGCCGCCCCAATGGTCAGCAGGTGCAATTAACTGCCGCATGACAGCCCTATGTCTATGCTGCTACACTACTTTTTCATTTCTTTTCAAACAAATAGAAAATACATCTCTTAAATATCAACGCTATCATGGAGTGTCACAGGTAGACCCACAACTGTGTGACTGAGGAACCGGAATTGCAACTATACAATTGCCACTGAGAACTCTTAATTCTGATTGGCTGGGTGTCCGATGTAAGGCATAATACCCAACAAGTTGTATGTTCTAATGATTGTAATGGATGGCTTGCGGCTTTGGTGGTTGCCCTGCGCTTACACCATGGCCAGCCAGTTTGTTTGCAGGTCTAGTCCTCTGTCTTTTCCCCCTCACAGGCTGATGTAAAGGTTTAAAAGTCATTCTTTTCCTCTTCCTGCAGATAGTTGATTTGAATGGATTTTACCAGTGTAGCTTCAGAACTTGGAGTTTGTGATACCATGGAAATTTGAATTTGGCTCAGTTTTCATCAAGTTGTCTCATTAATCATCACATGACCTAACTAGTTCGTAGTATCAAACTTGAACTTTAACCCTCATGTAATAACACTGAAGTGTCATAATTATACGTCTTTCTTAAATTGTTGTAAATTATCATCAGTGTTCAGTCGTCAAATGTGTCATGATACGCCCTGTGTTCTTTCACACATTTAATTTCTTTATTTTATAAATTCAGTCATTCTGCACTTTGTCAGTTAGATTGACTGTACATCTTAGCAAACCACACATATGCATAAACACACGATTACAGATATGTATGTACCTACATGGCAGTATAAATATACATTTAACCTTAATAAGGCTCTTACACAAAGGAAATCACTCAAGTTTGTTTCTACTTTCTCTGCAATTTGATACCAGATTTTACTTTATCTTCATCAGAGTATGTAAGAATGTAGTTTTACTTTACTTTAGTACCCTGTATTGCTACTGCTACAAACCACAATGTAGAATAATGTGGCCATAACAGCCTGTTGGCTTCTAAATCTGTTTAAACTGCAAATCGATTAACAGATTATTCCTGTTGAAAGGAACAGTGAGATGGCCTTTACAACTACGGGGTAAGAAAACAAACACAAAGTCACACTCACTCATACATTATGTATTCATTTAAAATGGAAAGTGATAATGACAGCAACAATGTGACTGTTGGGTTCACAAGAATAACTTCACCTCCACTCACATTTCTTCATATATTTTCTTAATGGACACTCATGCATAATTTATTCCCATTACTGATTTTATTGTCTTGTTTTTAAACCAAATTTCTCCTTATATCTATTTCTTAATAACTCAGTTGTTAACAGTTTGGTTTCCACCAGATATTTTGCATTCAATAATCCAAGGGTTTCTTGAGAGTTCACATAATGTGAAAGCAGCTGCTAAAAAAGACTGGAATCAAATCTGTGACTGTCCTTTTAATTGTGAGTTTAAGTAGGATAGCCCAAAAACATTAGATTATCATCTTCAGCATGCATTAACTATTACTAATGTCGATAAAATTGTTTCATCAGACATTGTGACTAGGTAAACACTAAAGCTTGCACAACCACACGTGTTTTAAATAGCTCTGGCGGACAAACAGCAGAGTGAAGGAGATGTCAATGAGGTTTGGTTTGTAGGCTTTAAACATTGCATTTAGCTTTAGATAAATAATCTAGCTAATCCCCTCACAAAAATGCACACCAAAAGTTTTAATAAACAATGTAATATTTTACTTTCATTCAATGTTATTGAAATTCACTCAGTGTCCAGTTCCTGTATTTTCTCTTTGTAAATTCCCCCGTCAAAGTTTTGTTTCAGTGATATCTTCAATCTTCTTCAACAGAGAGCACAGGAGTCCCCCAGAAACACAATTATACTGCAGGTTTATGTGATCCCCATAAATAATTTTGTGAGAATGGTTTTGTGATAACCACCTCAGCTGATGTTGTGGAGAAGAAGCCGTCCAATGGCACAAATAAGACATGAAGCAAATTCAAAAATGCATAGTTGTAGCAACTGGGAATACAATGCTGAATGAATGGGACCTATACATCAGGAACCCTCAATACCCAAAGTAACAAATCCCACATTACAACTCTTTTAAAACCCATCATCTGTCAGCGATGATCTGCCTTTTTATTGAGTTTGGTACCTCACTGAGGTACATTTTCACCCCAGGTGATAAAGACAACAGTTAGGGTAAAGTGGTCATTTCTGTCATATTAGCAGTTTACACTGTTGGATTCCAGAGATTAATTTCATATCATAATTCTACTTAAGCTCATAATAACACAGAATTTTTTTATATATATATATATATATATATATATATATATATATATATATATATTTTTTTTTTTTTTTTTTAAGGATTTTTACAGTACAGGCAGTAATGGAAATGTTGTGCTCTGCAAAATCTGGTTTGCAACTTTACAACATGAGGCGATTTGGCATTTTCTAAATAAGCGCCCGCCTCTCACGACACACAACAGTTCCCGCTCCCAATTTAACTCTTCTAATTACATGCCTTTGGAATTTGGATTATGCAGCTGCTGCATGGTGTGTGCTTTTGGAAGCTACGCTGGGTTACATTGTTGGTTCGGGGGCCAGAGAGAGTGCAGAAAATGTAGGCTGGTTCTGGCTGCGAGAGAGAATCCAGTGTGGTTTACCTCTATCTCCCCTCATGCAGGGCTCTGTCTTTCCCTGCCTCACTGTGTTGTTTTCTTCAGGGGATTTGGAGGTCTCTAACTCTGCCATCCAAATCCATTGTGTTCGCTATATACTCTCCTCCAATCCTCCCATATCTCCTCTCTTCCTCACCTTCTCCTGCCTCCCCACTCGTCACTTTTCCTCAGTTTTACTCTGCTTCCCTCCTCCCGTCTCTTCTTCTCTCCTCCCCAGGTGTCGTCTCTGCTTATTTTCTCTCATCTCCTGTCTAATCCTGTTTGTACTATTCTCTTGCTCTCCTCCATTGTTCCTCTCTTACCTGATCACATCTCTCCCCAAGCTTCTATGTTCTCTCATCCTTTTCCCCTCCTGCTTTTTGTCATTTTGCCATTTCCTTTCCCCTCTTCTTCTCTGTAATACCCATTTTTCTCTAACATTATAACTGTTTTTTCTTTTTCTTGCCTTGTCGCTTACCTGCCCCAATCTCCTCCCTTACCTTCCCCTTTTCTTCTTATGCTCTCTTCCTCTTATTATCTTCTCATCTTCTACCACCCCATCTGTACCCTCCCTATCCTCCCCTACTACTTTCCCTAGCTCTCTCATTCCTTGTCCAATTTCCTTCCCTCTTCTTGTTTTCTTCTCTTCTTTCTCCCTCTACACTTTTGCATTCCCTCCCTTATGCCTCCTTCCTCATCCCCCTCTCATCTCCTCTTCCTCCTTCCCCAACCAATTCTCCTTATCACCTCCTCCAGAATCCGCCTGAGCCTTTCCCTCCGTCTTCCCAACCCACCGCCGATACCAGCCAGTCATTTTACGTTTCATTGCCACCTTATTTAGAGCACATTTAACAATTTCATGCCGAAGAGATTCTCGTACACTGGGAGGCAATATGTCTCCCTGTTGTTGGAATCGAAATATTTCTTTTTATGAGTTTATTAAAACATGAAACGAAAGGCAAGCCGGAAGCCTGTTTTCGCTTTGTTCCCTGCCGCCGTGGGAGACGTTTGCATTTTTATTTTTTTTAAAGAAAATGAGCAATTTTGCCAAGTGGGATAGTGCAATTAAAATTAAAAAGAGGGAGCATTAGCTAGTTGAGATTGAGGAGCAGTACAGAATCAAACAGTGTTATCTGTTTATTACAAGGCCTCATTATAACTCCAGGCTTGAGTGAGCTTTCTCTGCCCACTCAGTGCTATACGTCCAGCTTCTCATAGCGGCAATCCCCAAAGTGCCGCCCCAGCAAACAATGCTGTACACACACACACACACACACACACACAGCTCTGCAGTGACTCTGGTCGACTGGTCAGGGGAGAGGATGATGAAAACACAAAGCCAGAGAGTGCTTATGGAAGTATACGCTTTATTAGACAGGTCTGCAATCAAACAGGAATGAAGGAAATGAGGAAGAATATAAAAGGTGTTAGGTTTGTGGGTGTTTTGAAGCGGAGGGCCGCTGCTTCTCTGCCGCCTTTCAAAACAGCTTTTTGGGATTAGCTTATGCCACCTCCCGTGGGAGAAAATCTCCTGAGGAGAAAAAAGGGATGGAGTGGGATGAGAGGAAATGAGAGGACAGGAGAGGAGAGAATGGAGGGAGAGAGGAAGAAGTTAGAGGACAGAGGAGATAAGTAAAGGAAAGGAAGAGGCAATTGAAAGGAGAGAAGGCTGGGGGGAGAAGAGGAGCCGAGCGTGGAGGAAAGATTAGTGAAAGGGGAAGAATGGAGGAAGGGAGAGGAATTGGGATGAGATGAAGGGAAAAATGCATAGAGGGGGAAACATTTTAGGAGAAATGAAATTACAGAAAAATAGGAGGGGATAGACAAAAAGTGGAAGAATAAGAGGAAGGAAGGAGCAAAGGTGGAGAGAACAAGTGAGAGGAATATAATATGACTCTCTCTTCCTTTGTAACCCTTTCTTTATAACCTCAGGCCAAACATTTAGTTTGTCATTGTTTTGCTGTGAAATAGAAGACATTTAATATCTCTAAAATGTGCAATCCAGCTGTAATTATAGTAGTCAACTTTACTTTTCCCCTCAATAATAAGCCTAACAATAGTAATACACCAACAGCAAGGCCCAAAGTTTCACTGTGTGCTTGCTGTGTGTGCTGTGACACTGTCATGGGTGAAATGTATGAAATCGCCAATTAAAACTGGTTTGAGACTGGG